AAAAAAAAAAAAAAAAAAAGAACGTAGATTAAATACATTCTTAAGTACGTTACCCTTTGATTTTCCCTCTCCCCCCAAATGTGGTATTTACAGGTGTTTTTGTTGTTAAACCAAACTAGTTGACCACTCCCTGGATCAGAACTGGGAGTTACACTCTGGGTGCACCTTGTCAGGCGGCCTCTTACCGTGGTCCCAGCTGAAAAAGCCTTGGGGCAGAAGCACTTCTTTACCAGGCCATCCTTTGGCCCTGCTGTCTCCAGCCTTGAGCTCGGTCTTGGAGAACGTGCGAGCTGGCAGCAGAGGCTCATCTCCACGCTCATTCTCTGTTCTGGGAAGATGAAACACATCTGGAGCTTTCCCGCGAGGCGACCATGGGGTCTGCTCATGGCTCCACATCTCTGGCCCCCTGTTCCGGTGTCCCCTTTTCTCCCAGCTCACAGTCTTGTCTGATATTCCTCTTCATCATTGTCTCACCCTAGATCTGGGCTTTTGTTCTCCGGGTTTGACACTGACCAAGTAGGGACACAAAAGGCAAATAGTCCTTCGGCTGCCTGTCTGCCACCTTTGTGGAAGTTCGCTGGCCCGACTGCTGTGATGCAGGCCCTTGGAACAGCCAGAGGGTTCTCTCCGACTGTCTCGAGCAACATAGCCTTCCCAAGGGGCTTGGGTGGTCTGAGCGTATGCCCTCCACATCTGGACATGAGGGAAAACAAAATGGAAAAATAAATTTAAGACAAAATAAGATCTATGTCGTCTTGAGGCACAAAGTAAAACTGAAGAGCAAAGCTCCAAAATGCAAGAGGTCCTCTGAACTTGACAGAGGCTTTTGTCTTTGCTTTCTCATCCTTGAGAATCTGGAGGAGGTCCCAGCTGTCAAGTGCCTGTACCCCAAGTTCTCTGGCCCCTGGCTGAGAACTTGGCACCTGACTGTAATGTTTACCATTAGCTTATAATTAATGTGTAGCCCCCTGCCCAGATCTTTTTTTCTTTTTAATGTTTATTTTTGAGAGAGAGCGTGCGCATGCAAGCAGGGGAGGGGAAGAGAGAGGGGGAGACACAGAATCCAAGGCAGGCTCTAGGCTTCCAGCTGTCAGCACACAGCCCGATGTGGGGCTCGAACTCATGAACCGTGAGATTGTGACCTGAGCCGAAGTCGGATGCTTAACCGACTGAGCCACCCACGCGCCCCGCCCCCTGCCCAGATCTTAAGCAGAGCCATGGGATTGACGTAGTTGAAGGAGGCACAGAACATCACCATCCCCCCAGCTAGTTGCCTTTTGCCCCTTCTCAGTTCCCCCATCCCATCCACTTTCTGATTTCTGTCACCATCGATTCCTTTAGCTGGTTTTAGAATGTCCTACAAGTGGAATCCTCCAGTATCATCAGTTTGCGTTTGGAGAAAATTGTATGTGAGAGTTGCGGGCTCCCCTCAGCGTGAGGAGGTGGGTTCTCAGAGGGCGGCTGTTTGGAACCGGAACGCCAGGTGCCTGTTTGCGTCCCCTTGTAAATTATTCATGTTGCTCCTGCACCGAGGTTTTGGGAGGAGCCCAGCCTGCCGGAGCAGCTGCCCGTGTGAACAGCCGGGCTGTGAAGAGTGCTCCCTGTGTCCCTTGGGGCTCCTTTGAACCCTGTAGCCCATTTTACTGCTGTGCTCCAAGGCAGGGTCCTGAATCCATCCCTGCCTTAGTTTCCGTCCCCCTACCCATCCTAAAGGCGAGAGGTTAGCTCATTACTGTTGGGTTTTTCAAGCCTATAACCCTGGCGTCTGCAGAATTTCACATTCCTGAGGGCCCTGTGTCTAACGCTCGCACTGTGGGCGAGCTTGTGCTAATCTTCCCTCGAGCCTCACTTGAGAAGACGCCTGGAGTTCCAGGAAAGGCCATGGTGGTACTTCGTCGTGGGTGACGGACTGAGGGTTCAGAAAAGGGATGGACAAAGTCGTGAGCTTTAGAGGGTTTAGGGAGGAGATTCTCGAGGAGGCTGCTGGCTTCCAGAGAGGGGGAGCTGCCGGTGCCCTGTGCGCATGTGCTGGGGTAGAAGCCGGCCTGAGACGGTCAGGAATAAAGCAGGAAGGTGGCGGCGCGGGTTATGTTGAAGGGAAGCTGGTGGCGGGAAGGCCTGTCCACACAGTCCCCAGAGTAGGGGGTGGGTGGGCGGGGCGGGAGGGGATGTGGAGCTGGGCCGGGGACAGGAATGTGGGGTGGCCCTTGGGAGGGGGCCGTCTCATTTCATCTTCCCAGCTGCAGGTAAGAAAGCAGAGGCACGTACAGGACAGCTGTCTTGGGGTCACAGTGACCCCAGCCTCCTTGCAGGGTCTGAGAGCACAGGGCATAGCATCCAGAGCATAAGTGGAGGGTGGTCTAGCCTCGGCAAGGAGGAAGGACCCTTTTGAACCAGTGGGAGTAAAAGAAGAGAAGGAAGGGAAGGTTCTAGGAGTGCTAATGGGTGCAGTGTGGTCATGGCTGGCTCGAATATCCGGCTAAGGGCAAGGGGAGAGGCCAGAGTACCTGCCAAGGCATTAAGAGAATGGGATGGTTTTTACAAGTTGAATGTGGCTTGTGTGGGACCAAGAGGCAGTGCCTCTGAAGAAGGGCGAAGCCCTGTGGACCTGGGGCATTGGGGCACGAGGGAAGGGGCATCCAGAAATAGGGTTGTCCCGGCCTCCTTGCCTGGAGCGGGAGTGGAGTGCCCTGTGGACCTCGTGATGGCCTGGAACCCCTCTGGGAAGTGGAACAGTTCGTTCTCAGCCCGCAGGTTCTGAGTTCCCAGCACTTGGCAGTGGAAGGGAGATGGAAAGTGCCCCGGCGGACGTTGGGGACATCTTGGTGGCCTTTCCTCCACTTTCACTCTGTCCTCTGGCTGAGCACTCAGAGGCAGTGCCCAGGTGTCCAGACACCACCCTCTCCTACAACCTGGGAGTCCTCAGGGAAAAGTGGCCTTTCGTACAGGGACCAGGGAGGTCATTTCAGCAGAGAAGGAGGACAGGGTTTGCAGACAGCCTCCTGAGGATGTGGTCAGGGACCGAGAAAGGACAGAGCAGGTGAGCAGGCAGGCCCTTCATTTGCATCTTGGAGAATCTGGTTTCTGTCCCTCCCTGAGTTGCTCCACTCAGCCACCCTGCCCCCCAGAGGTCAGGGGCAGAATGCAGACCCCGGAAACCTGGACAAGAATCGTCATACAAGCCTGGACCTTCGCAGCTTCATGTTTCAACTTCACAATCCAAGCGAACTTTGGGTTCCTTGTATAAGGGGTCCCTGCTGTTGTAGTGTAGATGTGCCTACGTCTTGTAGGGAGACGTGCTGAAATGTGGCCTTTGTGTCTGCGGCTTCAGTGTCACATCCACCAGCATCTCAGGGCTTAGATGGAGGCCCGATTCGGGGGCCTCTGCTCTGGCTTCACCTGTGGGCCCCTGTTCTCTAGTGAATCACCAGGATCCTTGTTCCATAAGCCCTAAGAGTAGCCCATAGCAATAGGAGACTGGCACATGGTGGAAGGTTCTGGAAGAATAAGTGGGGGTTCCTTCAGGCGCCAGAGGTGGGTTCCCTGTCCTGCTCTCTGTCTGTGAATCATCCACTTGCCACCCCAGCATCTCGCATGCACTGCTGCCATCTCTACGCTTGTCCTCTGACTCCGTTCCTTCCTGTCAGACAACCGTGAGCCGCGTTCTCCCTTTCGCTGCCTTCCTGTCCTTTTCTCCACCCGCTGTCAGTTGGGCTGGGACACACTAGGCACTATAAATGCTGCATTTTCCCCTAGTTGAAAGTGACTTTCTATTTTTAGATGAAGGCTTATGAAAACATGGAAGTACTTTTAACAGGGACATGAGAATCCACAAATAGGTGTGTATCTTGGAGCCCAGTGGTTTTCTTGAAAGTCAGACCGGGAACAAATCCTGCCACTTTGGTCAAGAGCCTTGTTGTCCCAAGGGTACTAGGGAAAGATTGACTAATCCCAGGATATGAGAGATGCTCGTGTATTGTGGATGTCATCCTTTGCTATCAGGCCTCACGGTAGGGGGTTTTTAAAAAATCTTTTAAAATCACTTCTGTCGGGGGCTCCTGGGTGGCTCGGTCGGTTAAGCGTCCGACTTCGGACGTCATGATCTCACGGTTCACGAGTTCGAGCCCCGCGTCGGGCTCTGTGCTGACAGCTCAGAGCTTGGAGCCTGCTTCACATTCTGTGTCTCCCTCTCTCTCTCTGCCCCTTCCCTGCTCATGCTCTGTCTCTGTCTCAAAAATAAATAAACATTAAAAAATGTTTTAAAAATAAAATCAGTTCTATCGAAGTTCAGTACACACACGACAGAATGCACCTGATGAGTTTCAGCGTGTGTGTATGTACGCGCATCTGTGTGTATAACCACCACCGCCACCTAGAAAGACCACATCCTGTCCCCTCAGGAAGTGCCCCGCCCCCAGCCTCCCAGCTCCCCAGCCTCAGGCAACCTGACAAGTTGAGGCCTGGCTTCCTGGCTGTGGCCATCCGGACCCTGATTGGCTGCTGGCTGCCGCTTGCTCTGCTCATTCCGTTCGCTGTGCTGGAGGGTCTGGTGGGAGCGTGCCGACTGCGTCCTGTCCCGCACCTCCTTTCTGTGGGAGCTCAGAGCACGTTTGCCGGGGACCAAGAGCACAGTGGGGCGCGGCCAGTGAGATCCCTGGGGCTCTGCCAAGGGCAGTGAGGGCAGGCAGTCACGGCACCCCGTTTCGGGCTGGCTCGAGCCCATCCAGCACCAGATGAACTGTCTAGAGAGCTGTTCCTGGAAAGAGGAGGACGTGAACTTTCCTGGCACAGGCCAAATGTTGGAGCTGAAGGTTGATTTTTAGATTCATCTGGTGATTTGTGGTTTGTGTTGATTTCTCACTGGGGGGTGGGATGGGGTGTGAGTGTGATGTTTCCTTTCTCAAAAGCATTTAAGCTGCTACCCTGTGAAAACTCACAGACAGCACAGATATTCTTGGCTGAGACTCAGTAGCTTCCTGTGATCGCTTCTTGCACAGTGACCGACTTTTTTTCCTTCCAGTGTGAACTAATTAGGATTGGCCCAAATCGGGGGTAAGCTACCAGGTTGGCCTTGGCGCACTGGCAGTTCTTCCCCGTCTCTAAGTCTGTATCTCCTGCCGGGCTCCCTGGTCTTCAGCTTTGTCTTCCCAGGGGTCCGCACCCTACCGGGCTGGTACAGACGGTGGCAAGGTCTGGGTCCCCCCTCGCCCCCTCCAGTGGGCACTGGTGTGGGTCCCTGCAGTTTGACTTGCAGGCTGGAAAGCTTCTGATGGCCTCCAGAATCTACTGTGACTGCCTTCAGAAAGACTCTAGCATTCCCTGTCAGGATTAGTTCGGTTTTGGTTTGAACAGCTTGATTGAGATCTCATCCACATGCTGTCCGCTCCACCTGCTGAGAGAGTGCCGTTCAGTGTCTACAGTGCGTTCAGTGTCTACAGTGCGCTCACAGAGCTGTGTATCTGTCACCACGTTCGGCCTCAGGACATTTTCACCGCTCGCGAAAGAAATCGCATCCCCGTAGCCGCCACCCTCCAGTGCTGCCAGCCTCTGCAACCACACTTCTACTTCCCGTCTCTCTGGATTTGCCTGTTCTAGACATTTCTTGTAACTAGAATCCTAAGATAGGTGGCCTTTTGTGTCTGGCTTCTGCTCGGCATCATGTCTTCAGTGTTCATCCCTGTCGTAGCCGGGGTCAGTATAAATGTCCAGTGTGTGGACAGACCACATTTTATTGATGTGGTCATCCATTGACTGATGTTTGGGTTGCTTCCACTTTAGGGCTGTTTTCGGTGAGTCCATACTGGACTCCCACTCACCCTCCCTCCTTTGCTCAATTTAGGGGAGGAATTGTGTCCTTGTTGGGGTGTTGATATTTATAGATGATCCTGTTTGGCCACTTGGATTGGCAGCTGGTGACGTGTTGGGGTTTGTCCGCCAGGATTTTCCCCTGAGATTGTTGCAGCAGGGAGAGGGGGGTGCCCCTCGTCTCAGGAGCCTTCTCTAGAAAGACTGCACTGAGGGACAAAGCTTGTCGTTGGCCTTGGATGATGTGGGGCTGTTGACCTGTGACTCAGAGGCTCCGGGTTTTGGCCAGGGCTTCCTGCACTTCCCAGTTTTCTTGGCCGGAAGGGGAAGGAGTTGCCCTGAACTGACCCTGTGGCACATGCATAGCATCTTGGGCAGCTTCAAGCCAGCTCCTAAAACAGTGCCCTGTGTCCTAGGACTACGTGGTGAGTGTCCTGTCGCTCTTTAAAACATCAGAGGAGTTTGAGGGCTGGTTAACTCGGGTCTTCGGCAGTATTCACTGAGCCCATAACCCTCTGGACCGGCCGCCACACCCACCTGGGATCCAGAGTGTGGGTCAGTGAACCAGCCCTGGTTTGAGAGAACTCGCTCTTCGGGGGAGGAGGTGCACAGAGGTGGCGGGCGTCGCTGCGGGGTGTGGTGCTGCTTTTCCAGGTGCCAGAGGCGTTTAAATCCGTCTTCTGGCACACCTGCCATCTATATCTGACACTCCGCCTCTGTGGGAAAGTCGTTTACTCAATTAGGAACATTTTCAAACAGTCCCATCATGTACTCTCATCCAATTGGATGGTTACTAACATTTAGCCCTAACCCTAACTTTGCTCCAACTAAATTAAGTTACAGGATATTCTGTCGTTTTGCCTCTGCATATCCAGTATGCATCTGTTAGAGGATATGGACATTCTCGGGAGGCCTGGGCGGCTCAGTCAGTTAAGTGTCCAACTTCGGCTCAGGTCATGATCTCACAATTCGTGAGTTCGAGCCCCGTGTCGGGCTCTGTGCTGACAGCTCAGAGCCTAGAGCCTGCTTCGGATTCTGTATGTGTGTGTGTGTGTCTCTCTCTGCCCCTCCCCCACTGTACTCTGTCTCTTTCTTTCTCAAAAATAAATAAGTATTTAAAAGATTTAAGGGGCGCCTGGGTGGCGCAGTCGGTTAGGCGTCCGACTTCAGCCAGGTCACGATCTCGCGGTCCGTGAGTTCGAGCCCCGCGTCGGGCTCTGGGCTGATGGCTCAGAGCCTGGAGCCTGTTTCCGATTCTGTGTCTTCCTCTCTCTCTGCCCCTCCCCCATTCATGCTCTGTCTCTCTCTGTCCCAAAAATAAATAAACGTTGAAAAAAAAAATTAAAAAAAAAAA